GGGCGGGTCAGGAGAGGTCTGCCACGCCATGTGGTCACCTCCGGGGCAGGCGGGGATCGAACTCATGCGCAAGTGGCTCTTGCTTCTCAGTGCTGTGCTTCAACCCGCTGTGCCATCAGGGAGGGCCCTCACACTAAGAGCTTTTTAAGAAAACAGCTTCAACCACTATCATTGAATTTTTTTTTTTTCCTTTTCGGAGAGTTGCTGGAAACCTCTACCCACATACACTTCAAAGTCTAAAAGTAAATTCAACTTTCTCTATTGTCTCTTTCTGTTAACACAATCACCACCTTGCTGCTCTCTTCTTGCCATTTTTACCTCCTCACTCTTTCCCATTCTAAGTGGGGTGCGACATCCTATAGATTCTACAGATGCCTACTGAGTTCTGTCTCCTTCTTCAGCTCATGTCTGACATTTTGTTCAGAACTGCATCATCTCCTGCCTAAACTATTACAACAGAAATATTTTTTTGATGGATCCCTTTCAACTTTTGCCCCAGCCTTTCCTCTCCCCCCAATTCATATTTCTAAAACACAACTTATGCTCTAAACGTTTCTGAAACTACTCATATCAATCCCAGTCTTTCACGTGACATTGCATGACCAGCTTCCATAATCACCCCAGAGATCTGTGTTCATTCTAAACTGTGTTTCTGTCACTGTGATAGTGCCATGCTTTAGTCCATGAGAAAAATTGACAAGAGAAATTGAGCAGGGATAACTAAATATATTGTTCCTGGTGACTTGTAAAAACAATAAATGTAATTACACTTTAGGTTACCACAATGCTATCTTTATTCCATCTTAAAATAATGCTATTTACCACACTTGGGTACATAGTTTGGTAAATACAGACCATTTCTGGTTTTAGAGGAAACTAATAAGGGCCCCTATTCCATTTGTGATTATTTCATGTAGGTTACAATACAGCAAAAGGGGACTTGGTGAGATCCATCCTTTACCCCCGGCCTCTGAACTTCAAACTCTATAGTGATGCCTTCAAGTTCATAGTGTTCTTGGCCTGCCTTGGAGTCATGGGCTTTTTCTATGCCCTTGGTGTGTACATGTACCATGGAGTAAGTATAAGACTTTTCAATTGCAGTTTTATAAAGGAGCTTATCCTTATCCAGAACGGTTAGAAAAGTTTACTGCTTAGTTCCATCATTTGGTGAATCTCTATACTGTCTAACAGAGCTTTCTTAGAATATGGGTATATTCTATCTTCTGTTTAATTTGAGAGCACTTAAACACTTGTGCTTCTAAAATGCTTAAGGTGTGGCCAGTATAACTGGAAATAAATTTTTATTTTTATTGCATTGTAATTCATCATTCTTATATAAATTGACATAGGTACTCCATGAATTTAAGTTTAAGTAGCCAATGGTCATAAATTGTAAGGTATGGAACAGCTATAAAAGTTGCAAAGTGTGTGGCCCTGTCACTAATTGGATGGGAGTGAGAGGTGACTGCTTGTGAAATGGTAACACCTAAACCCAAGTAGCTTCAGGGAACTCATGTTTCTCAGGACAGAGAAGATGGTGAGAATTTAGTCAATTAGATAGGAGAATAGGAAGGGCATGCTAACTTGAGGGCGCAAAACTCAGTGGAAGAACTGCAAGTTGTTCTTCTGGACCTTAGCAGAAATGGCCAGATTCTGCTGCCTGTCACTGCTCATGGCAATGAGCAGAGACAGGAAGTCGATCTATAAGAAGTGCTTTACTATCCACCAAGAGAGCAGAGAGCATAACACTCTGCAGAAGCTGTTCTCATATCTCCTCTCAGGGTGGCTTTCATATAATGAGTGAAACACAGTTAATCATAAGCAAACAGGCCACCCCAGTCGATGATCCCAGTATTCTTTATGTTCAGCCTGCAGGTCACCTTGACCCTCTTATGTATTGGCCTGCTGATTCTGGTTAATTTTTGGAGGTGTCAGTGTCTGACACTCTTTCAGGCATCACTGGGGCCGGTGCCTCAGTTCAAAGCAAGAGTTTTAGTTTAAAGAAAAACAGATCATTAGTCACAAGTGTGCACCTGCAGCCTGTGCTGCACTACCCCTATGCAGTACCCCTCCCTTCCTCTCTAGCCCCTTAATCAGGACCAGCAGCAATTAGGAAAGAAGCTGGGCCCTTCCTGGTGGTGCAACAGGTTAAAGCACAGCTCTAAGAAGCTAAAGCCACTTCAGCATGAGTTCAATCCCTGCCCTGGAGGTGACCCACATGGCGCGGCAGACCTCTCCTGACGCCGTCCCCTTTGCTCCCCTCAGCAGTGTACTTCATCAATCTGCCTGCTCTTCTCCCCATTCTGTCTCTGGTGAATCCTCTCACCACCCCTGCACCTCTGGCTTGTACTCCAGCTCTGTAGGCATAAATAAATCTTTAAAAAAAAAAAAAAAGTCTAGCAGGTACGATAGATAGATCTGATTGTAGTAAATGTTGAATGGCATGCCTAGAAGTTTAGGCTGTCTACGACTATTATTTTGGAATGAAATTAAATATCTACTTTGACTGCGTTGTGTCCCCACTTTCCTCTTTGGTTTTGGAGTGTCTGTTTTTACTTGGACCTCACTCTTAATAGTTGTAAGGGCTGAAGAGGGAAACGTTGTCCCTAATGACCTGTGAGATCCTTTGTGGTCCTGAAACTGGGGCTGTTGTGAGCCAGGCAGGATCTTTTGGAAGAAATGCTGGCATCTTAACAATGTGGGATTGGAGAAAAAAAGGGAAAACATGTAAATAAGAAGGTCCAAATCCAGTTAGAAACTTAGTGTGGATGGCTTAATTATAATCCCCAAATAGGTGGCATCAGGATATTCTGTGTGGGTATCTTTGGCAGGAGGGGAGAAGGTGGGGCCCGCAGTTACTGGTGAAGAAAGACAGTCACGAGAATTCCTTGGCAATGCACATATTCAAACTTGAGCTCTGAGTAGTCATTTCAATCTGAAATAACTCCCCAGGAGCATTTCTAAGGCTAGCAAAAGCAAAGGAAGCAAGACCATATTGGTTAAAATAGAATGGACTCTGGAAAGAGCCAGGCAGAATGTCCAAGCCAGCTAGATTGGAATTTGAAGCAGTGTGCCAATTTCATCCAGACAGCAGGAGCAGCCAGAATGAAAAGAAGCACACGGCCCTCTGCCATGACTTTGGGGCCCCTGATAGCAGCAGGGAATGAAGGCTTCTTGGCCAGTAAGCAATAGCCAGTGCACACCAAATGAGCCACACTACCAATCTCAGAATTTGCATTCTTGTAAATCAGAATCTGTGGCTCTTGGGCTGCCTCTATCTGCATTGAATTGGGACTAGGGAGGGCTCAGGGTCAAAACCCCTCTGGTTATGGTTAGATGAACTAGGAAATGACAATTTTGTGATAAACTGAGATTAAGCCAAATTTGCATCCAAAACCATCATTACTGAATTTGAATCTGTGTTTGTAGTACTCAAGAGAGGACTTTAAGTCTGACCTTACAGTTAGTTCAATAAACATGTAGGCAGAGTGGTAGAGGATGGACCTATTAATATGCAGAACACATGAAAAATAAAACAACACTGTTCATATTTTGTTCTGGGTCACACATTCTGAGCTTTGTGAATCGCCTGGGACTCTAACTCCTTGGCAAAGGTTTGATAATATGACAAGCCTGGAGGTGGACTGACAAGGGTCCAGAGCCTCAGGCGAAGGAGTATTTAGCTTTGCAAAAGTTATTTAATAATTTAAATATCTCCTTGTCTGTGAAGTGGAGAATGTTATAGTATTTAATCATTAAGGGTATAGTGGGGAGTAACCAAGTAAAGCAGGTAGCCTAAGCCTGTTTTGGGGTCATTGTCCCGTGAGAGCACACCATTTGTGGTTGACTTTGCAGTGGCAAATAATACAGGTGAGGTGGTGGCAGAATCTTGCTCATAGATCATCAGGTCACCATTTATTGCACATGTGCTGAGTCCCTCCTAGGTCAGGAAACGTACTGGATTCTGTGTTGAGAGTTGAAAAATGTGACTGTAAAAATGACATCAAAGATAAATGCACCGCAACTGTGGCTCTCAGGAGTTTGTGGGTAGGGTAAAGGTGGGAGATTTATTGACCAACAGTCAAGCCCTTATGTGAAATGTCACAACTCAAGATGAGTCCCAGTACCCCGTGCATCCATAGAGAGTGTGGAAGTATGACAAGGGGAAGGGATGGGCGCTTTGGATGGAGGGAACGCTAACTAGAGAGAAACAGACCCAGGAAAAGGGAGGGGCTAATATTCTGCAGCAGAAGACAAGTTGTTCATCCTGTGGGTGCGACTAAGGGAATGCTCGGCCCTAGCAAGAGAGTGACACTTGGAATAGTCAGAGTTTCTAGAGCTGGTGATGCAGGAGATGGTGCCAGGGAGGGAGCATCCTGCTCTCTGTGGCTAACTAACCTTGATGTCTTCCCTCCCCAGGTCCCTCCAAAGGACACAGCAACCATGGCCCTGCTCCTCCTCACCGTGACTGTCCCTCCCGTTCTGCCAGCTGCCTTGACCACGGGGATCGTGTATGCGCAAAGGAGGCTGAAGAAAAAGAAAATCTTCTGTATCTCCCCACAGAGAATCAATATGTGTGGGCAGATAAACCTTGTGTGCTTCGACAAAGTATGAGCTGAGCTTTCCAAGTTGGAGGTTACTGACCTCAGGGCACAGCGGAACTGGGAAGGGCTTGGGGAAATGTCTGGTTCAGCAGCCTCATTTTACAGATAAGAACACTGAGGCCTCAGCTGGTCACACAAGTGAGCTGGTGTGAGCTCATCCAGAAGCCCGCTTTGCCATCACATCATGAATTTCCTGCCTGTGGCATTTAATACATTTTTGTGCCTGTGATAGATTTCAAAACAATCTCTTACTGTAATAACTTCTAGTGGACTGGCTTTTTCAGGCAAAAAATTATGAGGGATGTTTCTGTTCCCTGAAGTGCTTTGTCCTATGCTTAAGTGAACATATTTCTTTCCCCTCTTCTGCTTCTTTTTTCTTTCTTAAGATTTATTTATTTACGCATAGAAGAGCTGGGGTGGGGGCTAGAGGTGTGGGGTTGGGAGTGAGGCTAGAGGTGGAGGTTGGTGGTCACAAGACAGAGTGGGGGCCAGAGCAGGCAGACTGACTGAAATACGCTGCTGGGGGTAGCAGGTGAGACAGGAGAGGTGGGTCTGCTGTGCCTTGTGGGTCAGCTGCCTGACCGGGGATCCAACTTGTGCTGCAGTGAATGGTGATTAGCTTTATAGTGCTGAGATTTAACCCCTTATGCCAAAAGGGAGGCCCCATTTTCTGCTTCTCTTAAGGAAATGGAGTGAGTAAATAGTACCTGTGTCTATACATTCTGGCCCCTCTTTTCTGTTATTTTTTTTTTCCTTAAAGATTTATGCATATAGAACTGGGGTTCAGGGGCAGTGAGAGGATTCACCAGAGACAGAGTGGGCAGCAGAACAGGCATATCAAAGAAGTACACTGCTGAGGGGAGCAGTGGGCAGGTCAGAAGAGGTCTGCCGCGCCATGTGGGTCACCTCCGGGGTGGGGATTGAACTCACATTGAAGCTGCTGCAGCCAGCTTGCAGTGCTGAGTCCTAACCCATTGTGCCCTCAGGGAGTGCCTTGGCCCCTCTTTTCTCCTGTGCTCCCCATGTTGTCAGGACTAAAGGAAGATTGTGCCTGTTCAGAGAGCAGGGAAGGTGGCAGAGAGAGGAGTGTGTTTAGATGGGGAGGATTGCTGCTGAGGCTGGGCCCTGAGAGCCTCTCTGTGGTTCTCCGATGGGGGACCTGGAGAGAATTAGCAAGGTCACATGTTGTTGGCATCCTCCCTCAGGAGAGATAGGCCAGCTTAGTCACTCACTGTAGACAGCCTGGTTTGGCCTCAGAGTATCTTTAGGTCGTTTGCCCTTTGTCATGAGGGAAAACAGGAGCCCTTATCATGTTTGAGACCACTGTGTCTCCTTATCATGTTTGAGACCACTGTGTCTCCTTTTTGTGGTGCCTTGTAATTGTTCAGTCAGGGGAGTTGGTGAGAAGGGACTGCAGAGAAGTCAGGATGAGGCAGGAGGCTACCTGGAGAGATCTGAAATGATGACTCCTTGTCCTAGATGGTGAGGGCAAGAAGGGCGAGTGGCACAGCTGGCAGTGGGGTAGCTCTTAGGTTATTTGAGTTCAGTTCTTTTGTTTCCCTTGGCAAAGAAAGCCAGTCGCCACTAGGAACAGGTAGGGTTAAATTAACAATAGCTTCATTCTAGATTTAGGGACAGATAAAAAACTTGGCAGCTTCCTGATAGGGATCCCCATTATTCACCCAGCAGCTTCATGAGCCCCTGGAACATAGGAGGGAAATTGGTTTATTTCTAAAACTAACTTTTCCAGACCCAACTTTCCATATCCAACTTTCTCCTCTCCTTCCTGACCGCTCCTTTGCTAAGCTATTTGGGGGAGTGCTCTTCAGCATATTAACCAGGCTCCATGTGACACTGGGCATGTTACATGCACACAACTCTGATGGGGTATCTGCAAATTGAGAAATCTAATCCTTAATTTGCCACAATGTTTCTCTGTGACTTTTTAAGATAAGAAGACTGAACTAAAATTATCTCTGTTTCTCTCTAGCTTTCATATTATAAAGCTTAACCAGCATGATGTTGGAATAAAACACTCTGCAATTAATTCAACTCCCACCTAGTGTGGGAGACATTCACACTGGGCTTCTGAGTACACATTTGTTCCCATATATATTTCTGATTTGTGTTGGTTTGTTTTAAATTCTCTAAGACTATGTCTCCATTCTATTCTGTTCATTTCAGTCTGGGATAGTATTTATGCTAGAATTTTTTTTTTAATCTTATTACCTTTAGAACCTCAACTGTAATTCAGTTTTCTTTCTATTTATGGTTGCTTTTATTGTATAAGGGTCGTTTTCATGTAGAGAAATAACATGGGCCTATTTCTGTTTTGCTGCGGTATCATCTCTGTTTTCATGTTCAAAATATTGATGTTTAAGATCTAATCATCAGGAAAACATTTCAGTCTGAATTAAGTTGCTAACTCTTTTTGAAATGGAGCAACTCAAAGGGATTTAGCATCTAAATCACAGGTTGGGGCTCTTATAAAATGCAGGAGGGAAATGAAACAGATTTTTGTTCACACAATCATATTAACTATCTTTGAAGGAAGGAATGAAACAAAGATTCCTTAATTCTTTAATCTAGAAGATCAGTATGAGCTTTGTCCTTCTACATGCTTTGCAGAATCCTTTGAACATTTGTAGCCTAGTGGAAATTTCTAGACGGACTGAATTTCTAACCATTGTGCCCTGGAACCTGAAATGTCTCTATTTACTCAGTTGGAGGAATTTTCAGCACGTCACTGTAAAACATTCTGCTAATGTTATGTGTTGCAAATTATAGAAGATATAATTTGTTAGAAAACTAGGAACTTCAGCGTCTTATAAAAAAGATGACCTTATGAAACAAGTGTCTGTTGAAAAGGATATTTCCTGGTGTGTGGCTTGGTCTCTCTTGACAGTGCTGAACAGCTGTAGTCAACTCCTTAGTCTGGCTGGGTGTTAAGCTGAGTAAGGAGCCTTTCCCATAAAGTCCCAGGTCCTGTAATTAATGATCGACTGTGAAGTAATGAGCAAATTAAAAGTGCTGTGATGGTACTCAGTCCCATTTTGCTTTCTCTGTTACATTATCTGACAAATACTCTCCCATAATAAAGCAAATCAAATCTCCCAACCTTTTTCCACTTGATCTAACAATAAAGCCCATTCACGGGCATTAATTAATATTTATTATTAGCACTTCATTACTCTCTGTAGTCCCAAGGCCCTTTATCAACATTTCATTACCAATCTGGACAGTCACCATGTCACCCGTATTTTTAGAAAATTGCTGTGAACCAGATGGCAGACTATGAATTAAATAGTCTTGAAAAGAAAGAAAAAAATTCTGCCAAGCTCGGCTTTAGAGAGACAGCAGGTGCCAACTGAAAAGTCAAACTCAAGCTACTTCTTGTTGAATTTCCAACCACTGAACCTCTCTCTTAACAACTGCGACGACAATAAACAAAGCCAAAACAAACACTTGCACTTTGTTGTCATAATTAATAACTAGAATCATCTAATTACCAACATGGCCCTATGGGAATCCCTTAGCACCTGCTGAAGCTTATCTTCAGGTACACGGCTCTGATTCCCATGTGAAGCTTGTAAACAAAAGACTTGGGACAACCAGGACTTGAATTTCTTAGGTGCTTGTGTTTCTTGTAAATCACCAATGTTTGAAAGCTCTGAAGCTTGTGCTAACCAATTCTAATGTTTTTCAGACTGGTACTTTGACAGAGGATGGCCTGGACCTCTGGGGCACAGTCCCTGCTACTGACAACCGGTAGGCCTCTAAGTAAAGTTGGGATGCGTGATGGTTTGCCCCCCTCTCAAATCCACCCTGCCAGTGTTGAGGGAGGAATGTCGCATCAAATTTGTATATAATGATTGGCTAGGACCAGTTCCCAATTATTCTAACTTGTTAAACTAAATGAGCTCTAAGTTCAGAATAATCAGACAGGGAAAGAAGGCCTTCAAACTCCCTATGAAAAAATGGAATTGAATGATTTGGATGATTATGTTAATGAATAAAACAGAGGCGCAGAGAGTGAAATCAGGGTTGTGCCTAATTAAAAATTGCAAAGACATCCTGGGTGGGTAGTGTGGTGAGGGATCTTGAAAAAAGCACTTCATCTCCTCCCTCTGAAGTTTCGCACTGTGGGGGGATAATGAGGAGCACACGCACTCCATTCACCGAGCAAGTCAGGCTGTAAAAGGGTCACTATTGGGGCACCAGCAACAGAACAGAGACAAAGACATAACAATGATTGCTTGATATAATAAGCCATCCTGATTTTTATAATAACAGTGGGTAAAAGATAGAAATTAATGTTGAGAGCAAGTAAATTTGGAAAAACTACCTGGAGGAGATAGCATTTGAATTAGGTTTTGAGGGGTGTCCGTCTAGAATCTGGACAGATGTGGACCGCAAGCTGATACTAGAGAGGAGCGGAGTCAGTCACTGAGATACTGCCCCAGAACTCAGCTAGAAAGGGGTGCAGTGCCCCACCCCAAGAATGCACCCATGTTCCTACCTCCCTTCCCTGTGGGATTAGGCCTGATTTCTCACTCTGAGTGGCCAGGCCTCTGCTCTGGGTGCCTCGGGTTTGATCCACATGGTGATTGAGGCTTCTCTGGTTGAAGGTGTCATGGAGGGCTCCTCAAAATGGCTCAAGGGCAGCCCTGGAACAGGGTAGCAGCAGGTGGGAAGTGTCACTTTGTAGAAGACATGGGCTGAGTGTTCCTGGACTCAAACCTACTCTGTATGTCCCTGCTCCTGGCTGCCCAGTCTTTTGTCTACCCAGGCAGGCCTCTGTAGGCCAAAACAGTGAAAGGGGGAAAGCTACTGGTAGTTTCCAACCCTCCTCCCCCTCCCTGGAAGTTTTGGGGTGAGTAGAAACAAGTAGATGCAATTACTTCTCCAGCTGGAGGAGAGGGAAGTGAACCCAGCCCATCTATTGTCAAAGAGAAAAAAGGCTTCAGCTACTGGATGTTCAAGCCTGGATTTGCATGGTTGAATAGTGAGAAGTAGTTCAGGGTCCATGCATATTTTGTATTTGAAGGAAAAAGGAATCACTGGACAGCTTTCCTTCTCATCCCTGCAATCTCACTGGTTTAGAGACTTCTTGCTTGGGCTTTCTAGAGTCAGCTCTGCCAACTGTGCAGGTGTCAGTTCTGAGCCTTCACCTCAATACTGCCACCTCATGGACTGACTGCAAAGAACCTGACAAAACCCTTGAGAGGTAGGCCTAGATTGCTGTTATATCCAGCCTTCTGAAATGATGGTCTTGCTTGGCCAGTGGTAAATTTGTTGTCAAGGAAGGTCACATCCAGCTCAAAGGTGGGTCTTATAAAGAGCAATCTGCAGGCAGAATATTCTGGTTAGAAATTGAGGAAACCAAGTAAACAAAGACTGAAGGGCTGGGAAATTCTTGTGCAAATTTGAAATTACAAGATATTTATCTTGATTCTGGAAAAACTGCATAAAGTACATTAGTAGGATGGGTGCAAAATCTGTAAGGTAATAGAGAACTGTAGTAGACAAGGCTTGAACAGCAGGCTTAGCGATCTGGTCTTTAATTTAGATGGCATGGGAGCTATTGAAGGTTTTGGGCATAGGAGTTAGGTGTGCTTGAAAGTTTGAGTGTGCAAAAGGATTTTGCGGGACCTTTAATGAATTATCTTTTCTACCAGTTTCCAGAACGTCCACAGCTTCGCCTCAGGCAAGGCTTTGCCCTGGGGCCCACTGTGTGCAGCCATGGCCAGCTGCCACTCTCTGATTCTCCTGGATGGGACCATCCAGGGCGATCCACTGGATGTCAAGATGTTTGAAGGTACTGCCTGGGTAAGGTGACACTTTCTTGCCTCAAAGACATGAAGGAAAAATTGAAGAAATCATTATTGGGAGTATTCAAGTTTTTCCAACCTTGGCTGAAAGCCAAATAATATTTATCATAGTAGCATGAATGAAAGTCTGATGCTACCTAAGTTTCCCAACCTCTGTTCCAAAAATTTCTGTGACTGGGGGCAACTTGACATAGGGTTTCATGATCAAATAAACTTCATTGAATAAACAGCAACTGCTGTTTCAATACAGTTAAATGAACTTTTTGACTGTAAGATTTCTTTAATATGCTGTGAAACAATGTGACTATTCAAAAGGGACTGTGATAGGTAGCACTTACCAAGTCTGTTTGATCACAAAAACTTTCTTAGCAGGCCAGAACATGGTGCAAATATTCTCCAAAAATTCCTCTGTGAAATAGGAGTCTGAAGCAATACCACCCAATACAGTAGCCACTAGCCACATGTGACAAGTGAGCAGACAAAATTTAAATTAAAAAATTTTAAATGTGATTTAATTTAAACTTAAATGGCCACAAGTAGTTGGCAGCTACTGTACTGGACAGCATACTTAGAACACCCAAACTGTCAGACTTGGTCCAACTGATGAAATTTTCTGAGTGTGTGTGAATTGCAGTCAAAGAGGAGGAACCCCCCTGACAGCTGTCATGATGTGGTGGTGGGGAGACCCCTCCACTCCAGTCTAGCTCTGTCACTCTAGTCCAAAACTAAGATTTAGAGTCTGTCCCTCCCCCGATAGTAGTGTCTCTCTTACAGAGCTGTGGTGACCACTGCGACCATAAGTTTATGGTTGTGGGCCTGGTAGTGGTCCAGGAAATAGAAGTTATTCATTCATTAAATAATGAATTCTAGTCTTCCATTCTCCAAAAAAGTTGTGAAGCTACTTACTATGATATATAAAGCACAAAACAGCACGTTAGCATGTTTTTAAAGAAGTGGACATAGATGATTGCAGGAACACAAAGTGTACTACATTCAGGGGCTAATTTGAAGATGTCTAGTAGAAAAATTATAGCTTTCTAGAAGTCAAAGTAATAGAGGAGGGAAAAATGGTAAACATGGACATTTCTGACAACAGTAAGCTAAAATTAGGCATTGGCTGTAGAGAGATTTTTGACACCAGGAAAAACAAAACTCACTTTCCTGGATTGTGATGCAAAGGTATCCATGTGATTATTAAGAGTGATGGTCTTATTCGCATCACTGGACTTGACACAGGATGAATTGCACAGGGTCATTGTTACTATTTGGGACTTTGATCCTCTTCCCATCATAGGAAGTTTGCTCTGTCTGTGCAGATGACATACAATTTGGGGCCTTGTTTGGTAACTTATGTTTTTAGTTTTGGCTCTATAGAATGGTCTTTAAAGAAAAGTTGTATCCGCTCTAAACAAAACATACATGCAAGATTACTCCCTGAGCTTGAAGCTAGATGAAGAGCATTCTCTAGTTAAAAGTGCTTTAGGTTGTTAGGAACCTTCACTAAATGTAAGAGGGAGAGCAAATGATGTTATAGACTGAGAATTTTAGCACTAGAAGAGATGTCAGAATATTTTTCAGGAAAACTGATGCTGAAGAAATCAGGAGAGGTCCCCAAGATTAAATAAGACAGATCAGAGGCCAAATATTATCTCCTATTTTCTGACCTCTACTGTAAATGCCTATACTATATATATTTATTGTATGTTTTAGTTGGTTTCTCATATGGCATAACATACATCACTATAGAGATACAAACCATTTTCATATGTGCCTTCTAATTTGTTAATGGCTGATGGCTAACTTGCTAACTCTCTAGTTTACAAGCTGGTAGCATCAATGAAGGGAATGAAATAGCCCCATTTTTATCTCAAGACCCAACCCCAACCCCAACTCACCTGAGAGCTCATATGCTCAATGCTGTTGCTGTTGTTTTATTTCTTAAAGATTTATTTATTTATGCATACAGAACAGGGGTGTAGGCCAGAGGTGCAGGGACAGTGAGAAGATTCACCAGAGACAGAGTGGGGAGCAGAACAGGCAGATTGACACAGTACACCGTTGAGGGAACAGCAGGAAGGTCAGGAGACCCAGCCATGTGGGTCACCTCCCTGGCCAGGGATTGAACTCATGCTGAAGAGTCTGTGGCTAGCTTCTTAGTGCTGCTCTTTAACCTGTTGGACCACCAGGGAGAGCCCCTCAAACATTTTCTGATTACTAAGTACCATTTGGGAAGAGACATTGGTCTGTAGATAATCCTTCTTGCACCAATTATTACTTAAAATGTAGTCACAAGATTTTTGACCTTTTGACATTCTATTATAAGGTTCATAATACAAATCAACACCAGAGAAATTTGACAATGATGATATTAAGATAATTGCTTAGATGAGTACTTATGTGAAAAGGGCTTTGAAAAGATCACAGTGCAATGCAACGTGGAAGTTTTCTTATTATTTTTCTCTAAGGGATCTTAGGAATGTTTTTATTTTAAAACAGGTAATGGAAGATTTCAATACAGACTACTGTACCTTTGGAATGTCACAGTCACACATAATAATAAAACCAGGACCAAGTGCCAGCCCGGTAAGACTTGCTTCTTAAAATCTTCCCACTTTCTCCTTTAAATTGATGAACGCTCCCTGACTTTCATATACTTTTACAGTTCTATGATTTGACCTTATCCTAAAGTGTCCACAGTAAGTTTCTTCATTGCTTCATTCTTGAGTTTACCCATTTCTTTTTTTCAGCCAACACTCACTGGGTACCTAGGTAGGCAGAACCTTGAGTGAGGGGATAAGAGATGAAGAGATTGCAAAACTCGACAAATGGAGCTTTGTGTCAGAAGATACATGGGGAGGCAGAAAAATCAATGTAGGTGCAAATAAGTGCAATACCATGTTGCTAAGAGCCATGATAAAGGCTGAAGAAAGAGCTGCAAGTGTCCAGAATGGGACTGATTGTTGCTACTGGGAAGAAGAAGGACCACAGATGAGGTAGCCTGGAAGATTAGGATTTCTCCAGGCAGTGAAGGGAAGGCTGACCAGGCAACTTGAAGGAATCACCTTAGAGGCAGTCAGGGTGTTGTGACGGATACGCCACTTCACGATGGCCTTGGACTCACAGAGTAAACCAAGCATCTGCTGAATTTCACTTCAAAGCTTCTGAAGCTCCCTGTCCTTGGTGCCCTGGCAGAGCCCCGTGGAAGCCATCGGCATCTTGCGTCAGTTTCCCTTTTCCTCAAGTCTGCAGAGGATGTCTGTGGTGGCTCAGCTGGCGGGGGATGAGCACCTCCACGTCTATATGAAGGGTGCGCCAGAGATGTTGGTCAGGTTCTGCAGATCCGAAACAGGTACTCTTGGTACTTTACTCTCCAGATGTAACATATGTATACTATTTTAAAAACTGAATAGATAAAGCAAGTGAAACTAAATCAGTGAATGTGGAGGTGGGGGAGATCATGAATGTTTTCTCAGTGGTTAGGGTGGGTCCGGAAGATGTTGATTAGGCAGAGGTGATAACTTCAAAGCAGAGCAACGGAAATAAGTATCTAGTTATGGGCCAGACAAAAAGATCAGCCATGATGCAATGTCAGGGATTTGATGTGAAGGGAGCATCAGGAACCAGAAGAGGAAGCTACATGGAAGTCAGAACCAGGGAGGGAGAATTGGAGCATTCCAAAGAGACCAAAAAGATAGGTCTGGACTCATTTTGCAGACAGGTTCTTTATCACCTCTAGGGGACGGGCACATTTGTGGGGTTTTGAACAGACTGATGGAAGGGGAATTTACAAAAGATAAATATTCCAGAAAAGAAGTGATTAGAGTAGATTAGAGAAAAGAAGAGGCAGTAACTGATCATTTCCACAGCGATTTCATCTTTCTGGGCCAGATTTTGAGCTGATTTGTATTGTTTCTTACTCTTATAAACATATGTATTCTCTAAGCAACAGTCCAGATTTATAAGAATACTGTTGCATTCAAATGAGTTCATTTGGATAAAATTGAACTTTTTCTCCTGATTTTCATTTGTATTCTCCTTACGATTGCTGATAGCCATCAATTTGTGCACAGAATTCTAGATTTGGCAAACTATTGCTTTAACTTCTCTTTTGACTTAGAATCTTCTTTTTAACTTTAGAAATGCTCCCTTTTATCTAACTTTGATCATTTTCATACCTCCTATTAACTCTGTCATTCACAGATGGAAGGCCTATATTTCCTGTTGCTTTTTTCAAATACAAGTATCTTATTTCAAATTCTAACTGGTAACTATTGTCCTGCTCTGTCAGTTAGGGTTTCAGGCTGTCACGTGCTGCCTCCTCCTTTTTCTCCTTTCGGTAGCTCTTCCAATTCTTGGTGCTTCAATCTCTGGCCTTTGACAGGTGCTAATATCTTCTTAAATGATCTTCTCTCCTCCCCCACCACCCGGTAATGCCCCACATATAAAAAATAGAGAGCTAATAGAAAACTAGAACTTCCTTTGCAATTAGACTCCCACTACCAGATCATTTTAAATTACAGAAGGTCTGAAATGAATGGGGACATAGAGATCCTCATCCCCCTCATTTTGTGCAATAGAGAAAGTTATTGTGCCCAGGGTCAAAGAGCTTATTGTCAGTAGAGGGGAAACCAGAACTCAGAATTATGCATGAGTCATACTATACTTCCTATTATATCAACTTTCTTTACATATTCTTATAGGCATACTCTAAATCACGAAGATTATGTAAATATTTAGATATTAATCATGATTACCATGTCAAAATATACATATCTGGAACTGTATCATCTATGATCTAAAACAGGTTGGCAAGCCTTTCTGTGAAGCTATAGATTGTAAATATTTTGGGTTTTGATGGCCTCACGGTATCTCTCTCAGCAGCTCAACCCTGCTAGCCTGAAAGCAGTCATGGATCGACAAACAAATGGACATGGTTGTGTTTCAAGAAAACTTTATTTAGAATAACTGGTAATGGACTAGATTTAGCCAGTAGTTTACTATTGCAACCCAGAGGGTTATTTGTTTTCCTCATTTCATCTAGATAGACATAGTCCTGAGTTCTGTCATTCCTGAATCCAGCCAGTGAATTTGACAGCCAGTTCATGAACAATGTATCTTTAACATTATTTTCCTGTCAGAGTAATAAGAACACATTGAAGAACTTGTTTGTGGCCTTTATTTGAAGCTGTTATTTCACCATTAAAGCATTTTGTGGAATGACAATTTAAACAAGGTACAATGACCATGTCCCAGTCTTCCTTAGGAGTTAGGTGACCTTCATTGTGACCTATGTTGACCTATGTTTCTCTCCTGGAAGTGCCCAAGAATTTCTCACAGGAACTGAGGAATTACACATTACAAGGTTTCCGTGTCATTTCCCTTGCCCATAAAACCTTGAAGATGGAGAAACTTTCAGAAGTGGCAAGTCTGGCCAGGTAAGAAACTCAGAAATTAGCAGCAGGCCAGGCTCCGTGTGCATGACTTGAATGATCCTATTGATGGACAGGACAGCTTATGGCTGGGAAAGCTCTGGAAGATGGAGAATCCATCTCATCCAGTTCCTGATTCTGATATGGACAACTCTCAGCCAGGCTGGGGAGAACTTGTTCAGGTCAGAGTGCTGTTCGGTGGCAGAACAAATATGACAATTGAGATCTGACTCTTGCGAACTGCAAAACCCCAGGAGACAGCTCTGTCCTCTATTTCTTCATCCCACCAAAAATAACCTACTCTCCTTCAACCGCAGAACATTATGTGGCTAACTGTCAAGGGGGTCCCACATATAAAGGAATTATGAGCAGCAGACAGCTGGTATTTCAATGACTTCCAGAGTGTTTTAGACGTGACTGCTTTCAGTGCTCAATAGAACACTTCCTTCAAGTGGAGAGGTAGTGAGTGCAAAATGAGTTACAAATGTGAAATAAAAGTCAGTATCCTTAATTAACTTGAGGGGATGAGTCATCCTAATTAGAGGATAATCTGTAGATTATTCTTTCTTTCAGTGTTTCTCAATTCTTAAAGGATGCTTTTAAATTGCCTATCACAAAGGAGTAGAGAAATAGTGTGGAAAATTTAGTAACAAACAATCTGTTTTTTACTTATCTTTGATTTTGTGTTGCTAATAGAGAGATACTTAGCCTCCCTGGGTATGATGTAGATATCCTTCATTCAACATTACTATTTTACAATCCAAGTCCATCTGCTCCAATAATCAGTAGCCACTGCCCCTTGCTTAAACTATATCCATTTCCCCATCTACTAAATGTAGGATTGGATAATTCTAAGGAGTTTTTCAGTTATGAGATTTTAATCTTCTAAATAGAATCACAAAACTCATTTTGAATCCATGAATGGCATGCTCAGATTTAACATTCAAGGTTTTAGTTGCTCCTGAGCAGATATAAAGCCCCATGAAAGATGAGATTTTATAATTTTTTTTAAAAGACAGTTTTAGTAACCAAAGTTAAGATCATGTGTGAAGAAAAGACATATATAGTTTGATATGGTGTGTAGTCACACCCAGTTGCACATACAAATATGGTTGTGATTTTCTCATTTAAAAGCCATGAGTGAGAAAGACTTATTACAAATACAACAAAATAACATAGTGAGTTTAAATTGTGCTAGATTTCCAACTACCTCAGGTTTCCCCAGAGAATATCAAGAGTCTATTATGCTTCTTGGAATATTGTTACTGCTTTCAAAGAGGGTAAAGAAATAGGATTTTAATTTTTTAAAACAAATTATATTTAACAAAAATTTCTAATTAGGAAAATAAATAACCCTAAAAACTGGAATCATTAAAGTGACTTTAGAAGACTTTCTTCCCGAAGACTTAGGAAAACAAACAAAACGCAGACATATTTTGTTTTAAAGATTCTTCCTTTAATTCATGAAAATTAGAAAGTTTCTGTTGAGCTTGACTGTGTCAAGACAATAAGGAATCAGCTAGTGGGTAAAATAAAATTTTTGTTCACATGAAGGTTTTATTTTCATTATGAGAAATATATAATAAATCTATAAAATATGGACAAGTCGTGCTACATGCCCTGATGGAAAAAATAAAGCAAGTTAGGAAGTTTTTAGAAATGACAAAGAATACCATTTTATGCAAGGTGATGAGCGAAGTCTTCTGAGAGATGGCATTTGAACAGAGGCCTGGGTAAAGGAAGGGAGCACGGGATCTGTCAGCTGAGGAGCACAGTAGGTAGCAGAACCAGCGGGTGAAAGGCGCTGCCCCCCCATAACCCGTACCCCCTCCCCCACTTTTGCTAGGACTGTTGTAGAGTAGCAAGAGGCCAAAGTGTCTAAAGCAGTGAAGGAGAAAGTTGTTAAAAAGAGACCTGAAAGAGAATAAATTAATGAGAAGATTTTTGGATTTTTCTTTTCATTCTAGTTAATGAGAAAATATTAATCAAATTTATAATAGAAAGTCATGAGGTTAAATGATGGGAATTTAACAAATTTCCTATTAAGGCAGATTTTCTAATATTCTCTGAAATCACTAAGATAGGATTCCTATCTGATTATCTGCATTTTCACCACGTACCGTCTCTAAGATATAAAGCTAACATAAAACACATAATGTAAGTTATAAAACTAAGCAGCTATTTAGTGAGTAGGCTTTAGAATGAAGGCTATAGTATATACTCTACTCTAGAGAGAAGTTCCTTCATTGTGTTTCCATTCAAGTTTAAATTATTTTCCTCAGGTTCAGATAAAGACAAACTGAAGAGAAGCTCACCCTTGAAAGCTGACAATAGACCTGAAGCCTTCAGGGGGGAGGGTTGGGAGAGGAGTAAGAAGAGGGAAGGGAGCATAATGGCCTGTAGTAGTGGACTATGGGTGATTTGGGGGGCTGGTCTACAATAATGGTGATACTGAGGGAGCAGGGGGCCTATATTTCAAAAATACCAGCAATAATATAAGTCAGTGTTACCTCAATAAAATAAGAAAGAAATCCAGTTATGATCCTTCTTGCAAAGAAAGTTTACTGACCTCGTGATTATTCCTCTTCCTCTCAAGTCCTCTAACAAGAATGAAAAGAAACAGAATCAAAGAATACCAGAGAAGTAATTTGTGCAGATGAGAGATTCCCATATTTCCCTTGAGGTGTAAAGTTGGCGGTGGAGTGGGTAACTGACCCAACAGGAGAGAGAAATGTAGGATCCCTCTGTAGAACTTCAAGAAGCTGAGAATCAGATTTGTCATGTACAGTGGAAGATAAATGTGATACTTCAGGCTGAATCCTGGGGATAACTGACAGTGTGCAAAAAGGTTATCTTCTTCCATCTCCTTCTCCTCTCTCTTCATCTCCCTTCCATCTTAACTCCACTTTGGACAGAAAAGAGGAACTATGAGAGATCAAAAAAGAGCCCGTGGCCCCAAATTTACTTTTTAGAAAACCACTTGAATTTATTCAATTTTCAGAGAAGAGTTCCCACATAATTGATATAACCTAGGTAGACTTCAAGTCTCCAATTTCAAATTCTGAAAGCGTTAATCCTTGACTGATGCCATGTATTTGCTAGAGGTTACAGAGAGAGGCAGAAATGAATGACTCCAGGACTAATCATTACTATAGTGTCCAGTATTCGGTATGTACTTAAACATGCCTTAAACATGGAAAAGATAACAAGTTGAATAAAAAATGTTTTGTAATTAAACATACCCCCAAATTTAAAAACTAGCAGAGGGGTTGTAAGATAAGCCCATTTTTTTAAAAGTAGATTTGAAAACTACAATGAGCAGCTAAAAGAGAGAAAAATGGACACCTCAGAAGAGTAAGGCTGTATAGAAACAGGATCATTGGTTTTCTTTGAAAGATTTGGGGTTCTTTTTGATATTTGTAATATGTCCATGTAGGTCACTGACAAAACTTAGAAGTCTTAAAAAAAGAAATCTATCCTCCTGTTGAGACTACAGAGATAATGCTTTAATATTGACTTTCTCCTCAAACCAAAGAGAGATGGTAGAGTCCGAGCTAACATTTTTGGGGCTTCTCATAATGGAGAATCGCTTGAAAAAGGAAACCAAACCAGTCTTGAAGGAACTGAGGGAGGCCCACATCCGGACGGTGATGGTTACTGGTATGTGTTTCTAGGGGTCTTACAGAAGGAATGTATCCCAGGCCTAAGAAAAGGACCAGACAATATGAACTGTGTGGGTTCATGTGACTGGGGCAAAAAGAAAATGCTTTGCAGTCAAGTTTGTTTGCCTGTGGTTACTTGGGGACACACATAGTCCCCCCAATATGACCCTGAGCTTTGGATAAAAGCTGTGACACTCTGTTGGACTGTCCATCATGGTAAATGATGATTGAATCCAAGCATGACCCCCCCTAAGTGGGATCCACATAGATGGCTTTATGCTATCAGACTGAGCCCGTATTACATTTACCACTAAGATCTGTCATTCCCCATGGAGTAGGCATAATGCACTTAAACATTATTTATTCATTTGCACATATTTTAGAAATATACAATGTTCAGGACCCAATGTTAAACGTGGGAAGAAGATGCAGACATAGTATTTGACCACTAGGGGCTCTGGTTCAGGTGAAGCAGGGGTCATGATATAGCGCAGAGCATCTTAATGGCTCCTGAGGGCACAGAGTGATGTGGGCACTCAGAGGAGGGAGAGCTGTTCTGGTTGCTGGGGTTGATATATAAAGCAAACCAGCTTTCTTTATCTTCTAGGTGATAACCTTCAAACAGCCATTACTGTTGCAAAGAATTCTGAAATGATTTCTCAAGGAAGCCAAGTGATCCTTGTTGAAGCCAGTGAACCAGGAGAGTACGCTCCTGCCTCTGTGACCTGGAAGCTGGTAGAGAACCAAGAAAATGGACCTCAAAAAAAAGTGAGCAATTGTTAGGCCATTTTCTAGGCCTAGCCAGATAGAAAATTGTCCTGGCCCAAAGCAACCTACTCTTGACATTAGAAGTCACCGTGTAATAATCTCTGCCATCTGTCTGGGGTTGTGCAGTTTGCAAAGCATTTAGCATTTCCTCTAGCCCTTCCCAGCTCCTGCTACACACAGGAATCGCCTAGAGGAGTTTTTAAGCTTTCCTATGCTAAGGTTCTGCTGATTAAATCTCATTGCTGGTGCTTCCCCTGTGCAGTTGTGGTTGAGAATCACTGATTTGCATCCAGATTTCCTACTTGATTCTCACAGAGACCCTATGCAGTTGAGCAAACCATTCATTTTACTAATAAGAAAACAGAGGTCTAGATATGTAACCTGGCCGAGGACTCAAGACTGGTGAATTGAAGAGCAGGAAATTAATTCAGATCTTCCTGCTTCTACCCCAATCTATGGGCATTTTGGTAGTACTGTACCTGTGACGTGAAACAAAAGGCATCTGAGTTTTTCTAGAGAGCAAACTCCCTGTAACAAGACCATCTCTTCCTATGAAGAGACTGGACTGCAGCCTGATTTCCCATCATGAAAGGTAGAGGGGTCTGCCCTTGTGTAAACTTGAATAGATGGTCCTCCGGATGATCAATTACAAAATGTATCCTTGCTCCAGACTGCTCAGCCCTTCAGACTGGTAAGTATAGATTAGGCCCTTGTACAGCAGACTGCACAGCTGTACAGAAGGCCTTGCCCGACCCTGTGAAGAGGTGGGTTAATTTGGCTTATAGCCACCTAGGCTGCTAAAGAGGACAGTTCTGTCCATACTTCTAGAGATTTCTGGGTTATTGCCATTATCTCTAAATATTTTTTAATTAGATTTACATTTGCATTTACTTATTTTTAAAAATTAAATATATTTATTTTTAATTTTTTTTTACATTGTTCTACATTTTGTGAATTTTTTTTTTCATCTTGGACTCCCACCACCAATTCACCCATGTGCAATAACCATAGTCCTGTGCACCTTTCCCACCCCAATTTTGATCCTATTCCCCTTCCACCCCTGTAAACTTTGATCCTATTTCCCTTTCTACCCCTGTAAAATGTCTCTGGTTTATAGTTGTTCATTGTTTTTCATTTTTACTTTATTACAGCTTTTTTCCTTGATCCCTTACATTCCTGCAATGAGTAAAACCATCTGCTATTTTTCTTTTTTCTGGCTTATTTCACTAGGCCTAATCCCTTCCAGTTCCATCCATGTTGCTGCAAAAGACATGCATTTATCATTTTTGATTGCTGAGTAATATTCCATCGTGTATATGTACCACATCTTCTTGATACAATCATCTATTTTGGGGCATTTGGATTGATTCCACATCTTCCCTATTGTAAACAGAGCAGCAATAAGCATAGAGGTGCAGGTGTCCTTTTGAATTGATATTTTCTGTCACTGCAGCACGAGTTTGATCCCAGGCCATAGAGTAACCACATGGCACAGCAGACCTCTCCTGTCCTACCGCTGCTCCCCTCAGCAGTGTATTTCAGCTGATCTGCCTATTCTGCTCCCCACTCTGTCTCTGGTGAATCCTCTCACCCCCAACCTCTGGCCTATACCCCAGTTCTTCTTTGCAAAAGTAAATAAATCTTTATTTTAAAAAAGAAATAAATAATACCTTTTGATTTTAGGAAACCTACATTAACATTGGAAATAGTTCGGTGCCTGATGGAGAAAGAAGGAAGTGTTACCATTTTGCAATGAGTGGGCAGTCATACCAAGTGATAACTCAGCATTTCAACAGCTTTCTTCCAAAAGTAAGTACTGAAAAATGCAGTGTTTTGATTTATTCTTCAAGTTGGCAAAGCAAAAAAAAAAAAAAAAAGGGAAGAGATTAGTGATAATGATGATTAGTAAGTTTGTCTCCGAATTAGAGTATCAACACCCCCAAAGGGATATTACTCCTTCAGAAATGTTCATGCTCCACCCATGCCTGCTGGCCCTGCAGATCCATGTGACTTCCACTTCAGCATGGAAATTCTGGCACCATCCTCCCCCTATGGTCACTTCAATCCCAGCCCCCCACTGCCACCTCCTCCAGGCTGTCCCAACAGGCTGCTGGTTTGTGGGTCACCTCTTCTCTGAAAGCCTCAGATTGTGTTAGGCAGAGCTCTCTTCCATCTTGCCTGCATTCTTAAATTACTGCAGAAGGACACAGTGGACCCATGGTTTATTTCCAGAATCATTTGTTATCTTGTCCTCTGTGTGTCTGTTTTAAAATAGTGCTGTGCGGGGTTGTGTTGTCAGAGTGAAGGGGATAAGTGCAGCACAAGTTGAGGGCAGCAACAATCTGTTAGCAGCATCTTGAAAATTCTGCCCACTTTCCAGTCAAGGAACACAGAATCTAGACCCCAAAGACTTCTAGAAAGCTGTTAGTAATTCCCCGTTGTAGAGATAGGAAATGAAACTCAGAGAGTTTAAGGTGCTTGGTGAAGGTTTGCAGAGCTAGTTGGGACTCAGCTGGGAATAGGACCTTGTTTCTCACCTCAGTCTGTTGCCCTTTCCTCTCCTATTCTGTGATCATGGACGTAGTGTTTAGTAAAAAGCACTGTATTTCCAAAAAGTGTTTTGCCCCATCCATTCAGTTACACTTTAGTTATTATTCTTAATTGGCAGTGACCTCATCTCTCAACAATACCCTGGAAAGAAGCAATAGAGTTTTGATGGAGAAAGTGAAGGGGAAAATTAAATATTAAAACATTAAATCCTCTTGCTCCCCTTCCTGACATTTGGTCTAATAACATTAAAATGGTGGCCAGGAGGGATTTTTCAGGGTTGTTCTTTTCTTTCAAGAGTGTTCTTCTTCCTTATCTTAACCCAGCCATTGCTTTTCTCTTTAGATTCTGGTCAATGGAACCATTTTTGCAAGAATGTCTCCTGGGCAGAAATCAAGCCTAGTTGAAGAATTTCAGAAATTAAAGTAGGTATTACTGCATGAAAAGAGAGAGTATTAGCTCTCTGCTGCTATCTATCAAATTACCCTAAGATTGAGTGACTTGGAATCACACCAGTTGTTACACTTTTCTATAGTTCCGAATCCAAGTGGGCTTAGCTGAGTCTCCTTGATGGGGGACTTGGCTGTTGGCCAAGATTCAGTGTGCTCAGCGCTCCAGGGGCAGGATATTTCCCCCTCCCTCCCCACTGCACTCACCTGTGGCAGAATTCAGCCCTGGGGTGGTTAGACAAAGAGCCTCAGAGAGCCCCAGTATTTTACTGGCTGGTGGAGAAAAGCCACCCTTAGTTCTTTGCCACACAGATTGTTGTAAAGAAGCTCGCCACGTGGCAGCTGGCTTCCATACTGTGAGCAAGCAATGAAGACCTGGTGTTAGGGTGAGGATAGGTGGTTATTTCTCGTGTTTCCCAGAAGTGATATCCCATTACTTTTACTGTGTCCTTCCAATCTGAAGCACTGGCTGAGCCCACACTCTAAGGAGTATATTATAAACTGTCAGGAATATCAGCAGGTGAGGGATCTCTGAGGAACACGGAGGGTCATTCAGAAGCTTCACACCACAGTCAGCATTTGGTTTGTAGTCCATACAGATATCTTAGAAGAAAGCTCTCTGCATAGATGTAGAGAATAGAAACATTTTGTATAGTTCAAGATGGGAATGATGGGGGAACTTGAGTGTTATCACCTGGAATTACTTGAGATTAGTTCATCAGAAGGTACATGAGTAATTTCAGGAAAGAGGGGGACTGGCAGTTTTTAAAACTGTGGATGGGGGTTGGATTTGGATGTCAACATTAGCCATAAAAGGAGCTCCCATCTCTCCAATTTCCTTCAGAAATACAGATGGCCAACTCACATTGGAGTGAAATAGTTCTTAATACTGGGCGTGCCTGTTACTTGCTAGGGATGTTACAAATTCTGGACTGTAGGTTTCTGACATGGGAAAAAGAACAGAGAACAGTGAAATTTTAAATAGCTGTTGATAAATAATGGGTCTAATCAGAAAACTGCCTTTTATGGCTATCTTTTGTTGCATAATCATTCCCAGGGAAGTTTCAAATACTGCCCATGAACACCCATAATGCCTCCAGACTGGGCTGGTAACCAGTGTCTAAATGACCATTTTACTTACATGATCATCTTACGATATTGACTGAAGAAAATAATTTTACCCTTCTCAAACACCTGAGAAATGTTGCAAACTTAAATGGTTATCTTGAAAAGTTATATTCCTCTAAGGAAAAATCAATTTAGGAGGAGATAGACTGTTTCTGAATATGCTATCTTCTCAATTTTTCTTGATCTTTCTTTCCATATCCTTAACAGTGGCCATGTGTGAATGATGGTCTGAGTTATGTTTCTGAATTCAGGTAACACTCGAAGATGTGAGGTTTCTCCTGTGACTTATCAACTAGATATGTACTTTAAGTCCGAGGAAAGGATGCCATTTTAACAAACATGCATTGCTCAGGCATGCCATTGATTACATATTCCCCAAATATTCAGTTGACCCATATGAACTTGCTTATATTATTTCACCATGTTTGACTATAAGATGATCATTTGTTATGTGTCAACGAATAATAATGAAATTCTCTGAGAACTTCATTTTCCCTTGTATTGATTTTGTTATTTCATGTGTTTTTAGAAAATTGCAGCTGAGTCTTTATTAGTATTGCCATTAATCAATATCTATAATGTACAATACCTATAATGTCCTATTTACTTAGCAGACAGTGCTCCTTGCATCAGAAATTACTTTCCTTTGGCAACAGCTATAATATTTACTCTGCTATTTATATCGTTGTATTTGCAACAGTCAAACTGATATAGATGGGGAACATATCATCTCATTTTCACTTCAAGATGCATCAAGAGTATGTGTATATGTTTCTAGTTATATCTGTTAAACTATTTCTCAAGTATTTCTTATCCCAGTGTCTGAACTTTAAACTCTCAGCAGCAGTCAACAATCAACAACAGATGGGTCTGGTTGTGATCTGTGCATGAGGCTGAGTGGGAGGTGTGAGGATGAGGCCGCACACGCAAATGCTTGGCCTCGGTGCATATAATCAAACAGGACCTCTTTTGCCATGTGTGATCATTTTTGTGGATGTCCTTGGAAGGACTGATTGGAACAATTTAAATAATCCAATGGCCTTATTTTACGGAGCCTGTTTATCTCCTAGCCATTTTCCTTCTGCCTGATTCCACACGTTTGGGATATTCACACACTCAGGCTCACACACACACATTCTATGTGAGCTGGTTATGATGGCAGTTACTTAAGGGAAGTGTTAAGTTATTCATTTTTCTTATCCTTTCCCCTGCAGTTATTATGTGGGCATGTGTGGAGATGGCGCTAATGACTGTGGGGTGAGTAGAATGTTTCCACTAGTTCGGGCAGTTTGCCTCTTTTACTCTTGAGGACCCAGCAGTCCCCTTTGGTCTAGAGCTTCATCCTGCTGTCAGCAATCACTTGATTATTTTGCTGTTAATCCACTTCTACCTGAGTGTGGGTTGGATGTAGAAAGGAGTCAAGTGAGATGAGTCACTTCAGCTGTTTTCTGGTAATTTCTAGAATAACAAAGACAAGTAAGGCTATTTAGACTCCTACATTTCAGACTCAAAAGGGACATTACAAGAAAGCTGATTAAAATCTTTCATGTTGTCAATAAAGAAATGAGTCTCACAAAGAGGAACTTTTTTTTTTTTTGCCTGAAGTCACATAGCTAGAAAGGTCTTAGTGATGGAAAACTTTGAAAATGATGGTTTAAGGTTTTGAATTATGTGTAATTTATATTTATGTCTGCCAAATTCTACCCCCGAATTTGTTTCTAGAGTTGGCTTTATCTCAAGATTCTTATTCAATGAAATTCTAAACCAAACTAATTATTACATACTTTATCAAAACTTAAATGATTCTTTGAAGATAGCTTCTCTTCAATGATAGAAGAGAGTACATACTTTATAATCTGAGGTTTGATGAACTGGTTGAAAGAAAGATTTGTGCACATAAGAAAAAGATTTTTAGCTAATTCATGGGACAAAATGTGAAAAGGATTGTTTTTAAAAAAGATAAACTGATTCAATTTACAGCAACATGGATAGAGTCAGGAGGGTTTATACTTAGTGAAAGGAAAAAGAAAAACATCAAATGGTTTCACTTATAGAGGGAATATAAAGGAACCAAATAAGGGATCAGGGAAAAATAATAATGAAAAAATTAACAGGCAACTATAAATCAGACATTTTGCAGGGGAAGGGGAGGGAGAGAGATCAAAACAAGATCAGGAAGAGCACAAGGGACTATGGGAATGGTGCACGGGTGAATTGGTGGTGGGAATTCTATGGGGAGTACACCTGAGAGGAGAAAGCAAACATTGTACAAAAAATGAACAATGATGTAAAATACATACAAATAAATAAGTTATATAGAAATTTTTAAAAGTTCTAGGTATTTGTTTTACTTCTTAGTTTCTTCAAATTTCTATGAAAAACTATGTTCAAACTTTAGATTTATGAATTTTTCTGCCTATGTTCCATGATAAACAACTGGTGGTTAGTCTGCTCATCAAAAACTAGAATGAGTCCTCATGCTCAGCAATTGTGTGGAGTTAGACCAAAGCAAAGAAATTGAATGCTATGATGGATATAGTCTCTGCCCTCAGAAGGTTTGTTGTCTGATGGAGGAAGAATCATGCCTGAATCTAGCCCTTTTGTAGAGTAGATGGTCTTGATTTATATCACAGAAATGCAAAAAAAGAAAAAAAAAAGAAAGGAAAAGTAGGGAGAAAAGAGGAAGAAGGAAACATTCTAATACCTTTTGAACACGAATCTAGTGCCTTCTAGCCAAGGCAAGCATTGGTATTTTATAGGTATTTTATAGTTCTCCAAAACAACAGAAATGTAAAATCTTGCTATATGTCCACATAATTCCGAGAAAAGCAGGGGCTCACTGGCTCACCTCTTGGCCATTGTCTCCTCTGTGCAATCTCTGGACAGTTTCCAGTTTTGATGAGAAATTAATTGGCTCTTAATTTGGTGGAGCAGTACATGTTCTGGAATGCGTCTGTGATGACTTGACCCCTGTCTCCCGTGAAGAGACTCTTTGCCCCAGACTTCATCTCAGCTTTGAGCTGGTTGGCTAGATCAGCAGCCTTGGGAGAGATGTGGGCTGACTATCTTTTCCTTTTGTCTTTGAAGATGACCTGTTAAGGGAAAGAACTGTGAAAGTGAAGGCTCCCTTCCACAAGTATGCATCCAGGCATTGTCATCTTTTCAGTAGACTCCTTACAGGGGCGTTTCCATTTCTTTCCATCACATCTACCTGACCCACAACCAAAAAACACACACCACTCTTCTCCCTCTGGGCCATTGTTTAGCTGGTGCCTCATTCGTTGTTGACTTTGTAGATCAAGGGCAGGGAGTATTCCAGGTAGAGGAGCAGCATAAACAGAGACCAAGAGGAGGAAGGGCTCCATGTTCTAACTCTGTAATGTGGTGAGTAGCTTCCTGGTGTTTGAATAGTTAGAGCCTGGCTCCAGGAGTCATGGGGTAATGTGGATTTATTATTCCAGGCTTTAAAAATGGCTCATGCGGGCATTTCACTGTCAGAGCAGGAGGCATCTGTGGCATCCCCTTTCACCTCGAAAACTGCCAACATCGAGTGTGTGCCTCATCTCATCAAGTAAGCCACTTCTTTCCCTTTTTCCCCTTTGGCCCATGGGCTCCGTGTCTGCTTCTGGACATAGTCAGAGTTCAACTATAATTTAAAGTGGTGAATGCCATAATGGAAGTATATGCAAAGGCGAGCACCATCAGTGCTGTTTGAGAATACAGGTAGGTGACAAAAAGTGACTTTTGCTAAGTCTTACAGGATAAGTGACTGCATCAACAGTCAAAAGTTCAATATAATATTTAAAAACAGGTTTCATTTCTCACCTCTCCTCTATTTTGTATGTTGGATGTTTCCTGGTGCCATTCTTTCAAGAGTTGAGGGGATCGCTCCCCCGAATAGGGTTATGTATCCAAAATATAAACTAGTGAGTGTCCAAAAAAGATTACATGAAAGAGATTATAATTGACTGCCATGGAAGGGGAAGGAATTAAAAAGTATTTTCCTAACATAGCTGCCTCACCCCTCACCTCTACACCACTCTCATTTTTCATGTCATTTCTATTTATTTTAAATGTAGCTAAGAATAAAACATTACACTTCATATTTTGTTCACAAGTCTTATTCCCTGTTGCTTCCTATACATAACACTCTGGGGTACCTTGGAACCCTCTTCAATGCCAGGGATCTGGAAAAAATAACTAAGTCCTGAGGTTCAGACAAGAGTCAGTGATGAAGTTCCCAGCAGGTTCATCGGTACCGCTGAGCGGGAAGCCTGACGAAGGAATTGTTCACTGAAATTTCATGACCCCCATCTGCCACATATTAGCCAGACAGCTGGACTTCTCCAGCTGGATGCCGCTACCTCCATGGAAATAGAGGGAATGGAGGGAAATGGAGAAGCACATCCATTTGTGCCGGGTGGTGTCCCCCCCACCCCCACACCCAGACCACGTCACTTGCCCTTATCCAGAGCAGCTTGTCTTTCCAATTTCCATGTTCCCGGTTTCTGAGACCAGTCTAGCCCTTTGTTATGGAGGGGAAGTGCTTTTACTCTTGCTTCTTCTTCATCTCTAGCCACTCAGATATTATGTTGAATGCATTTGTCTTTCAGAGAGCTTCTCCAAACATTTCTTCACTCTCCCCATTGCCTTAACCCAGGCTCGTGTCATAAGGCTCGTGTCATGATGACTACAAAGTGAAAGTGCTCAGGGCCCTACCCTGGCACCTGCTCTCAGCATCAACAACTCCTGGAGTGCTGTTGAAATGTACTTGGAAATGTGCACTAAAAAAGGGGTAGAGGCTTGCCCTGGAGGCCCAACACTGCAGTAAAGGAGATAGATCAATATAGTGATAGGTACAATCCCTAAGCAGAGAATCTTCTGCCCGATGTGAGAGATGCTCACGAAATCAGCTTTCAATATAGTAACATCTCAAAACTCAAAGGCAGTAATTATTCCTGTAGTTGAGTGTGATAATTCAAGCCAGGAGGGAAGGTTTCAGCAGGGAAGTTGCAGCTTGAAGGATGGCTAGGAGTTAGATAAACAGCAAGTAGGTGGGAGGGAATTCCAGGTGAAGGAAATGGAGAAGCACATTCAGAAACAGGGTTTTAGCTGGAGAGAGCAGGGCTTTCTAGCCCAATTGGACTGGAGGTTCCTCAGTGGAGGTTGTAGAGATCAATTGGGCACCAGGTGTGAAGGCTAGACATGGGGTGTCTGAAGCCCCATGTGGTTGCACAAAGTGCCAATTTGATGCATCCCCAAATCAGTGACATTTGAACTTCAGATGCTCTTTCTCTTGCACATGGCCTTGTGCATTCATGAATGCAAATACAGTTTCGAAATACAAGTCATGATGGAAAATTTCTCTAGTGGCAGATGGTTTAGTAAGGCTTCAGGGTAAAAACTCTTGCTTTTATATTTCATGAATTCATAAAAATTAGATATGGTTCAGCTCTGCTAGGCTCATTTTACCCATGTCATCCTGAGTGCAAACTTATTCTTGAGAAAACATCTTCCAGAAGGTCAATGAAGTACAGTATTAGATGCGCAGGTCCAGGGCCATGGGTTTTATTGCTATCCTTTGAAACATGGTTGATTTCTTGTTAGTGTTCAAGTCCTTTTGGGGGTGAACTGTATCTGATTCATTTTTATATCATTGTGCCTAGCAGATAGTCAGTGGATATTTGTGGAATGCATCAATAAATGTGTGAGTTTTCCAAAGTCATAACCCTGAGGAATAAGCAGTAAGTTTGGAGACCATGCAAGCATCATTTATGCTTTTCTTAGAATGCTTTTTTGCACTTTTCTTTGAATCTAGGTGTCTTTATTTTCCTAGAAGTGTATATAATTACAGAAGGTTTGGTCAAAAAAGACCAAACCTTTGCACATGTATCCCATCTCAACTTGTCTTTCTGCTCTACCCTCTGTTGAAAACAAATGGTGATTCCACTTAGCTGGTAGAGGACATCAGCTCAGAGCATCCTGGCCCATCTCTCACTGACCATTATCATCTGAGGAAAAGTGGTTATTAGTTTGACTTTTTAGGTTTCCCTTCTCATGTTCCTTTTCTGTTGAGTCTTTGAACAAGTGTCCAAGTCACTAGGAACAGGACATGAGGGAAATGTGGGTTTTCTACTGCCTTTTTCCTCACTCTCTCCTAATTCTGTCACCTCATGTCAAAAGCCACTGTCCAACCAAGCTTCTGTTTCACAGAATAACAGCTAAAAAGGAATATTTTAAAGAGGAGGTTATATACTTGTTAAGCAAAAGTTTTTAAGGCTATATTTGTTTGTTTTGCTTTTCACATGTTAATCTTTCAATTCACTGAAAACTTGTTGGAAATAAGGTCTGTGCCTGAATCATTTAATATCTTCTATGACTATTATTAATATAATGGTAGTACCTCCTAAGCCCCAAATATAAAAAAAGATATATGAACCACTGCATGAGGTAATGACTGAAGGAGAGAATGAATGAGTGAATGAATAATTAAATAGTTGGAAGGATGAGTCAGTGATTAAATAAATGTATATCAACATGTTATTAAAATTGAGCTATTTTTGTACTATAAAATAGGCTGATACATGTCATAGATGACAAACTGTTTTTTTGTTTTTTTTTTTTTTTTGAGCAGAGAAGGCCGAGCAGCTCTGGTTTCATCCTTTGGGGTATTTAAATACCTGACCATGTATGGCATAATTCAGTTTATTGGTACATCACTGCTCTATTGGGTATGGACCACAATAATTTCTTCCCATTTCTAATTGCATTTTAATTCCCTGGTTTATTTGGGGGATACTTCTCCTACAAAGGATTTAATGTTTTCTAAATAAGTGGCATTCCTTAAGATGAATGACTATAAACTTGGGGACTGGGTATAACTATGCCAGAAATAGAGAGCTAGAAATAAGTAGAGGTGGATCAGTTTTCTAGGAGTGTCATTTTCTCCTGATAACCTGAGACAGTTGACCTCTTTGAGCTTCTGTTTCTTCATTAGGAGTATGAAGAGCGATTTAGAGCATCCTAAATATAACTCAGCAGGAAATGGATCAGGCTCCAACTGTGGAATATTTTTGGCAAAGACTAAGAGGAGATAAAGAGAACGAAGTTGAATTTGACTTTGAAGGGCTCACAAGCTAGAAAAACTCCCACATTGGAGCTTTATTTCTGAGCTTGCCCTGAACCACATTCTTAGACATGTCATTTGGATTAGCAATTATTTAAACATTTTCAGAAGACTCTTAAACTTGAATGTTAAAAATATTCACTTAAGATTTAGCTCTACAAAAGAACTGTACATGCACACAAAATAATCTTTATTAATTCAGACATAACTTGCTCTACAGTCAGCTGATTCAACAGATTTAGGGAAATGCTTCCAGGGAACTGCCTTACTGTTTCCTGAGACATTTGAGAGGTGAATGAGAAGACCATGAACTCACACAACTGACTGGCTGTTACTCACAAGGGTGACTGACACTCAGAGGGTTAAGGAGCAGACAAGTGGCTAGAAACTAGACTAGAAATTAGAGACACTGGTTTTAGAACAAGTTTTGTTCCTATTAGTATAAGCAACTAAGTCTTGACCTTAGTCAACTCTTTATCTACCTGTAGGCTGTCAGGTTGGCTAATATCCAGTGTCCACCAGAGTTCTGTGAAAGCTGCTCCTAAAATGAGAATTAAAACAGCCTTTGAAAATTTCTCCCTCTTCCACATCTCCCTGCATATTTGGAGGTCGAAAAGAATACAGAGAAAGTACAGGAGAATGAGAGGGACACCAAAGGACCATTTTGTTACCTCTCAAAAATATGAAAGCAGAACTTAAGTTCCCAACTCTTCATGGATAAGATTGGAGCCACCGTCCACTCTGAAGTAACTCTGATGGTCTAAATCTAAGTAAAGTTCCCCCCCTCCAAGGGTTTCACCCAGAATCTCCTGGGCCTTTGACTTAACCACTGAGAGACCAGAGCTATCTTATCTTTGCATAAATCTGATTGACAATATGCTCAGAACTAGATTATAATTTAGTGCTCAGGTTACAACTATGAAGGAGGTGCCACCTGGCTACAAAAGATGTTGCAATCAAATGCAAGTTCTTGCAGAGTAAGGATTTGGATTTTGTATTAAAATGCTTCTGTTTAAATTCATAAGTGTCACTTTAGAAGTTCTACATCTACACAAACATTAGAATGGAAGGTAGACCAGATTAAAGTCTGCAGTGGACTTCCATGGGACACTTGCTTGGTTGTGAAAGTAAGTGGACTCTGCGAGAAGTATATTGTGGATTTAACCCTGAGTAAGAAACACCTGTTAAATGACTTGAGGCTTTCACTTCAGAGTTTGAAGTTCCCAGCAGAACTTTCAGGCTTTAGTGTTTAATGTTGAGGATGCAACTATCCAGGCTGGAATTGCAGCTACCAGAAAGAAACTGGTGGGGCTTTCCTAACTCAGTGACTCTCATTGCTAGCGTGAAATTAAGTTAAATGATGGGAAAATAATAGTTTTGTTTTATCCTGTCCAATAAGTTGCTAAAGGTCTTAGGTGAATCAGTTTTTGTTTTTCAAAGTAGGGAGAAAAATAACAGTTGCCTCCTGACTCCTTTCAAAAAGAGTTTAAAAAGATAGATAGATAGATAGATAGATAGATAAATAAATAAATACATACATAAATAAATAAGTAAGAGCAATGAGGGCAGAAGCCACACTTTCTTTTTCTTTTTCTTTTCAGCAACTACAACTCTTTGGGAATTACCAGTATCTCATGCAAGATGTAGCCATTACCCTGATGGTCTGTTTAACAAGTAAGCTCTTTATTTGTATTTATCCATGAAATTCTAGTAATGCACAAATCAGAGCTTCTGAGAAGATGTACCTTAACTACTAAAACTTCATCACCTGTGATTTTTTTTGGAAAGTAGTTTTGGGGTAAGTTCACACTTGAATTCCTCTTTATAGCAAACAGTCTTAACCTCTTAAAATTGCATGACATTTTAATAGATTTATATCTGGCATATAGAAAAAGATACTAAGAATCTAGGAAGGGCAAAATTTCAAACCCAAAGGTCACTTTCCATTTTTCAGCTCTACTTTACATGGATGAGAAACCAGAGGTGTATGTGTTTTGTTTTGTTTTGTTTTACCTTCTAAAAATTTTGTCCTTTTATTTTATTTATTTATTTATTTTACATCATTCTTCTTTTTGTGCATTTTTTCATCTTGGTTGTGATCCCGGTGGACTGCCCACCATGCGGGTGAATTGGTGGTGAGAAACCACAGAGTTTTGCTGGGTCTTTGATGTGTGAGAGCAAATGCTAGTGTTTTATTCTAGGGGAATGCTCTCAAAAGCAATAATATGACTATTGCTCATTTTCTTTCTTTGAGATGACAATGATAAAGTATTACCTATCAAAGAACTCAGGGCTTGATACTAGCTTTTAACAAGTGAGTAAGGTGACTGCCTCAACAGAGAGAGAAAAAAAAAAGAATGGCAGTTTTCCTTTTTCCATATTCAACAATAGTGTTATGAAAAATAGCAGGCAAAACACCAGGCAATGTAAGATATTATTAATCCTAAGTATGTCATAGAGCATCTTAAAACTGATATTGAAGTCATTTATTATATCAACCTAATGACAAAACTTAGCAGTGTCAAAGATATAAGTAATATCAATTTTGAATCTCAAGGTTGAAAGATCTAGTCATAACCCATGAAAATGTTTTTATGTATTATTAATATTCACATGGCTGGTTAATTATGAATCACTGATGTTGCTTCTGTAGTATTGCATATTTTAAACAGTTTGTGGGCTTTAATTGAGAACATGCTCAATGATGCTAAAATGAAAAAAGACCAGGGGAATGTAAGAGTTAAGTTAGTAGGCAGTAGCATGAAGGTGAAGACCGTGGCTATCTTTCACCACTCCCCATTTATGCAACCTTTAGTTAATAATTTTAATAAATCCTTTCCTTATAGGACATGTCCTTAGAGGACCATGAGGCTCAGATAAAAGGAAGCATGTCCAGTATCCAACGCAGGGAGGTACACACTGCAAACACTCATGACAAGATGAAGGATAGACTCTGCACCTGTCCTCTTATTCTGCTTTAAAAAAAAAAAAAAAAAAAGATGTCTTTATTTATGCATACAGAAATGGGGTACAGGTCAGAGGTGCAGGGGCAGTGAAAGGATTCACCAGAAACAGAGTGGGGAGCAGAACAGGCCAACCCATGAAGTACACTACTGAGGGGAGCAGTGGGCAGGTCAGGAGAGATCTGCCAGGCCATGTGGGTCAGCTCCAGGGTGGGGATCAAGCTCACGCTGAAGTGGCTTTAGCTTCTTAGTGCTGTGCATTAACCTGCTGCGCCAACAGGGAGGCCCCCTCTTATTCTTCTTTTGAGATGACTTCCTGGGAGAGAAGTGGGCTGTATACAAGTAGATCCTCTGATTAGAAATCCAATAACATGAGTGATAGCTGTAAACTTACCTTGGAATTGTTAGTTGACCTTGAAGATGTTATTTTGAGCTTTTACATTTATTTCCATATTGGTTATGAATTTGAGTTTCACATGGATGGGTTCACTTTACTCTTTCTCTTGACATTAGCCTGTTGACCTTCATGCCAGTGGTTCACCCTGTGAAATTTAGCCTTTTATCTCAGAAGGGATTCAGAGGGATAGTTGGGATAACTTAAGGAAGACCATTGTTACCAGTGGGAGAAAAGGGGTCTCAGAAAGTGATAAATGAAAAGCATACTGTTTTATCAGAATGACAATATTTTTTCCAATTATTAATAAATGTGTAATGGTTCAGTAAATAGATTAGACTGGTGAGATTACCAGGTTTTATTTTGAACCCATTGCCTTTACGTATGTTTCCCCATACTTGCAGCCATTCCAGAGGCAGATCATGTCTGGATCAAGTCCACAGGTTAAACTGTTACATCTTTAGATATGAAAAGTCCAAAATTAACACTTGGTTTTCATCCATTTCAAAGTTTTCCTTTCCTTAGATCAATGCCTGACCTATTGCTTGGAGCAAGCTATGGGGGAGAAGGCCATGGTCTCTACTTCCTTTGTGTAACCTACTCTTGAACCCTGCTTCAAGGACTGACAGCAAGACCAAAGGGCATCTTACATATGTGGGGTATTATAGTTCTCTCCTGCTAAGTGCCCTCTAAATGGTGGCCATCTAAATTCCAGTAGTGTACATGGGCTCATCTGGTGAGTTCTTGACCTTTCCAGAACTTACCTATATATTAGACTACATTGCCTCACCTATGTGGTGCTCTTTCTTTCTGACCCCTCAGGATTCCATTTAGCAACTGCCTTCCACTAGCACCTACCACAAGCCTTTTTCTACTGCAGGGCTACTGCAGCAGATATCCCCTCTGGGAAGTTTCCTCTAGCCGGGTCAATTTCCTTAGCTTCTACTTGAGCTACCAGGTAGTGGATGCTGAGCTTGCTCTTACTGTCTCCCCCCGCGCCCCCCCCCCACTATTGCAAAGGGGAATGAGTGAGGATAAACTCCTGTCAAAACTAATGCAGCCCTCCCTGGTGGCGCAGCGGGTTCAAGCACTGCACTAAGAAGCTGAAACCACTTCTGCATGAGTTCGATTCCCGCCTGTCCCGGAGGTGACAACATGGCACGGCAGACCTCTCCTGACCCGCCCGCTGCTCCCCTCAGCAGTGTACTTCGTCGATCTGCTGTTCTGCTCCCTACTCTGTCTCTGGTGAAGCCTCTCGCCGCCCCTGAGCCTCAAGCCTGTACCCCAGTTCTGTATGAACAAATATATAAATCTTTTTTAAAAAAAAAAAAACTAATGCAAGTGTCCCCTGGAATGGTTTTATTACCTCCCCTCGTTTAGCGTAGAGTAATTCTAGGAAGAAAGCCACAGTTTATGCTGTTTCGAGCAATTCCTTTTAAATGATTGTTGATAATACTGTGGCTTTCCTTCATATATAGTCTGTACATAGTACATAGTGAAGGTCCAGTAGGGCATCCCTTTAGTAGGTATTGTGGAGAAATGGCCATCATCTCTTTTTACATTAAATCTCCACTTACCATTCACTGCTTGCAAATAAGATCCTGAAGCATCCCTCAGACAAAAGGAAATGTCCCATCAATACCCACTTAAATAAGTGTTCATCTGTAATAGTTGGTGTTAGACACGTAGGTACCTGGGGCATAAAAAGGCTGATTGATGAAATTGAGAGTTTAATGGGGCATTCACATACTTGGATGAATGAAATTCAAATGGAAAGGAGTGGATTGCCAGAAGGCAGTAGGTACTTTAGGTAACCAGAGAAAGAAGTTATTTATGATAATGTGGGGATAAGGAGGAAACTAAAATGGAGAAGAGAGATACCAGAGATGTCTTCATGGAATAAGTAATAATTGCACCAAAATGGGAAGGATGGGTAGATATCAAATATCTTTTCCCAAAAAAAAGGGGGGTGGCATTTCAAGTTAGAAGGAAGCAGCAAGAACAAGAGAGAGCTGGTAAATGGTAGGCATGAGATTTTTCAATTTGACTACACTCTCTGGTCTATGAAAAGAAATAGCAAGAGGTAAAATATGAAAATATGAGTTAGGTCACAGAAACTTGATTGCCAGCCTGAAAACTGTGAACATCCATCTTAGACATGAAGGGTCAATTTAATTGGACAATCAATGTAAAATAACTTTTAGCAAGTCGCCTACTTTGCTGGGTTCCCGGTTCAAGTCTTTTGGCCTTAAACCTGAATTAATGTGGGAAAAGACAATGCCATCACATACTTAACTTATCTATGTGTTTATCTATACATATCCTGATTGTTCTCACAAAATTTTAAGGCAAAATACAAAGGCAGCGAATAAGACAATACATTTATTAACCCAGGCTCTCATTTGTTAATATTTTAGAGAGGAAATGTATTGACCTAACTTGGATAAGACGCCTGCCCTATGCCAATCATTTCTGTGAAGAAAGGTGGGGTTACATAATTGAGCTCCTTTTAGGACAACCACTTCATATGAGTGGTAGCATCCAGAGGAGAAGGCTGGAGGAGGCCACTCATCCACCACATAAATAACGTCTCTCACATAAATCCAACTGGTGCTTCAGACTTCTAAGTCTCTCTGGGTCTTGGTGCCCCTGGAGAATCTCATGGAAGATATAAATCTTTACACCTTAAATTTTCATGAAATGCATTCAAAATGTTGCTGGAAGTTTTAGGTGGGTTAACGAGCTTCCTGAAGTTTGATGTACATAATTTAAAATGTCTACAAAACAAAGTAAGACAATGATTCAGAAGTATAGCTACATTATATTCAAATGGTGCTAAACACTAAAGAAATATACTTTGAGGATAGAATTTGGAACTGTGAAGTCTGCTCACCTAGCAGGGACTACTCTGTGCTCAGCAAGAGTCAGGAAGTGGAGTAAGACAAGGCTTCTTCCCTCCAGGGCTCACAGTCTGCTGAGCGCATGTGTAAACAACTAGATTTAATGCAAGACAGCCCACACTATAGCAGCAGGATGAGTAATGTGCTGTGGAAACTCAGAGAAGGGAATGATTAATTCTGTATAAAATATAATATTTCACAAGTTTTCATTCCTCTGTATGCAATCTGATAACATATATCATCATCATTTTAAGGCAACTGGACAATTCAGGAAAGTTCCTCTGGCTTCTGATAAACAACACTGCTATCCAAGCTTATATTCCAGGATATCTCATTCTATTCTTTCTAGTTCATAAGATCCATTCCACTACAATATGCAAGAGAGGAGAAACATGGGACTTTACAATCTGACAGATACGTGTTCATGTCAGTCACTGACTGTGGGTCTTTAAGGAAGAGAGTCTACTTTTCTGAACCTCGGGTTATTTACCTGTTGATGTAAAGGAGATAAACTATTTTTTAAGAGACAATGTGTAGGTAAATGCTTGAAATATGACTGCAGAATTGAGGCTAACAGAAGCAGAGGGGCAGGGTAGGTGATAAAGTACAGAAGGGTCTAGTGGTCTATGTGGTGGAGGGTTATGGGTGCTTGGGTGCTGGGTGTGATGTGGTAACACACATCTGATGGGCTGTTAACTTAAGCCCTATAACATAAAGTTGTTACCGCAAATAAAATGAGTCTTAAATATGTATATTTAATATATAATGATATATATATTCATATTTATACGTAAATGATACTTAAATATATATCTTTAATATATAATATGATGTATATAATATTGAGTATAGCCTCTGGGAAGCTCTAAATTGGAGCCATTATTTTTCTGCACATTTATTGCCTGATACAGATACCCTGGCAGAGAGTAGTAGCAATTTGTAATATGGAAAAAGTTAAAAATATTTCTATATTGACTCTCACAACCAGCTATGGCTACAATAACGCTGCATAACAGACTCTCCCCCCAAACTCAGTGACTCACAATGCCCCTCATGGCTCTGTAGCCTGTCATTCAGCTGATTTTTCAGTGTGCTAAGCTAAGCAACTCTTCTTTAAGATGTATGTCAGTTGGTCCTGGTATAGACCATGGCTTTGGTTCAGTCCTGCTGCACATTTTTCACTCCGGGGCAGGGTACATGGCCTGTCCTCCCTGCAGATCACAGAGGGCTGAGTCAGTGAGCAAACCCGACTGACTACCTCTTCAGGTAGAGAATATCAGACAGTGAAAGCAAAAATTAAGGGGTAAGAATGTGCACTCTGCCTTGATGAGGCCATTAATTCAAACATCTGCAGTCCTGTCTAAAGAAAGAAAAACCAGAAATGACAGGAGAGAGAGAGAAGATCAGAGAGAGAGAGTCCAGACGCAGAGAGAGGCAAGAGGCTTGATGTGATTACAAATGAGAGTTGATGTGATTACCCCATAACACATATTGAAGAAACTACACACCTACTGTAGAATTTTTTTTCATACCAAACTACACACCCACTCTTCACCAACCTCCCCCATGAATATAACAAACAATAACCCTAAAACACAGAGCCCAATTTCTTCCTTGTATCACAGAAACCAGTGATGAGCCATGAAGTAGTAGGAAATGACAGATATGAATACAAGAGTTGAATCATGGCTATGATATAAACCTTTAAATGTGACATTTATAGTTCCAGATCTTCTTATGTTTTCTTTTTTGCTCTGTCCTGAGAACTGTAGCAGTATGTTAGAACATATGATTTCCATGAAGGCTGTAATTTTTTTTTTCTGTAGCTGTCTAATCTTTGCCCACTGACAACCCTGTTATATTTTTTAAAGTGCATTCTAGGAAAATAAAAAATATCTACATATCTAGAATAAAGATTTTTTTAAAGATTTATTTATTTATTTATTTGTGCATACAGAACTGGGGTACAGGCCAGAGGAGCAGGGGTGACGAGAGGCTTCACCAGAGACAGAATGGGGAGCAGAACAGGCAGATCCACGAAGTACACTGCTAAGGGGAGCAGCGGGCGGGTCAGGAGAGGTCTGCCGCGCCATGTGGTC